TTTCTATAAACTTTCATTTTAAAACTTTTATAAACTTTTGTAAAATTCACGTGGATCTAGTGCAATAATATAAAACAATTTCCTTTTCCCTCCCATTCCCATCCCATCCCATCCCATCCCATCAAATAAAAAGCTATTTTAAAAAGAATAAAATTTAATACCTTAACTAAATAAATAATATTCAAAATTATATATAAACTAAATATATTTAAATTTAATTATAAATTTGTCATATAAAATTTTATAATTAAATAAAAAATAGATATTTTTTCACAAAAAATGAATGAAAAAAAAGAAAAAAAAAGTTATGAAAATCCAATTTAATTTTTCTTATAGAAAATAAAGATAAACAATAAGATAAAGATAAAGCTAAATAGAAACAAATATAATCAATAGAAAAAAATAAATTTTAATCATAATGCTAATGTTCGTAAAAGGAAAAAGGAAAGAAAAATATTGAAAAAAAATGCGTGCCATTTTTTTGTTTGAAAGTCTTTCAAAATCTTGTGATTAATGAGAGACAAATTTTAAAATTTTATATTAATATTTTTACTTAAAATTTTGTACCCTAGAGTTTTATAAAAGTTTCTAAAAATCATTAAAATTTGAATATCCCAACACTTAGATGCTTCTAAAAAATTTTAATTAAATACATTGTGACTTTTAGATATATTTTTTAAAAATATATAAAAATCTCAATTGAATACATAAATACTTTAAGAGAGTCTCAAAATTTTTTTATTGAATACTCCTAAACTTTTTAAATTTCAAAAAAGTCATTAGTAGTTTCAATTGAATAGGTTCCCTTTAAGCGAAGTCAATAATTAATTGTAATTATATATTTCATGATATTCATAATTTTATTATTTTTTTAATCAAACATTTTATTAGTTTTTATCAAAATTAATAAAAAAATAAAGAAAATTTTGGAAGGGCAGAAACGGGAAATGACTTGAAATCGCGCGATAAGAGTGATCACATGTGCATATATTTGCTCAAGGACCCTTCTTCTTCTTCCTTTCGAAATCGCGCGATAAGAGTGATCACACAGAGGGTACGGGACGACGACGTTTGACTTCTCGGCTCGGCCCTCTCCTGTTCAAGCAATCAGTCAATCTGGTATGGATCTGCTTATATACCAGTTATTTCTTCCATTTTTACTTTCACTCTTGTATGTAGGGCTTTTCTTTTTTAATCAGAGATCAATCATGGATCAACCGGTATTCGATTTTGCGTCCTGTAATATATCACTGAGTAGTGTTTTCTTTTTAAATTTATTTTAAGACGACGTTGTTCTTTTTTTTCCACTGATAATTTTGTTTGAATTTTCGCAGGTTTGTAATTTTTGGGGGAAAGTTTATTAATTTGGTGTAAGTGATGGCGTCGAAGCGTATCGTGAAGGAGCTGAAGGATCTGCAGAAAGACCCTCCTACGTCTTGCAGTGCTGGTATGGTTGCTTTCTTAGCCTGTGGTTGTGTTTCATTCAGTCTAATTTTATCTTAGTTTATGCCTGCAAGCATACTTAGGTCTGTTGAATTGCTAGAGTACTATGCTTGTAGCAAAATAATAATAATAATAATAATAATAATAATAATAATAATAATAATAATAATAATAATAATATTTCGGGACTGGATTCACTCTGAAATTTGCATGAGTTTCAGAAAGATGGAGAAGTGTAGTTGCTCTATATAGAGCCAGAAATGATTTGTATCTTGGATTTTGTATTGTTTACTTTGAAGTTTTCAAGTAAGATTTTATATAACGTTACATTATTTCAAATTTAATGTCCAGAGCTTCTTTGGGCTGTTTGCAAATTGTAGCAACTATATGATGTTAGTTAAGTAGTCTCATTTCTTACTGTTTTCTGTCAATCTAAGCAGTCGGTTGATGCTATTCAAAATAGTGACTTGCTTACATATATGATGGGATTCTCTATAGGAATGCAGCAAAGGTATTATTTTTCATCTTCTAATAGGACAAGGATGGTTTTTATTTGTTGCAGGACCTGTGGCTGAAGATATGTTCCACTGGCAAGCGACCATTATGGGACCCACTGATAGCCCATATGCAGGAGGCGTGTTTCTAATTACAATTCACTTCCCTCCGGATTATCCTTTCAAGCCCCCAAAGGTTGTTTTTGAGCATTTCATTTCTATTATAAATATTTTTTCTTGCCGATTTATCTACCACAACTGATGCACTGCCTATTTTTTTCATGATTTTATTTTGAATTGAGCTGAGCAAGGTGCGTAATGTCAAATTATGATCAATATGTTCTTTTGGTGCTTTCTTTCTGTTTAGTGCCGAGCGCTGGTTCTATCAAATGAAAAGAATGTTACTAGAGTGGTAGTTGACATTTTTAATTAGTGATCCTGCCAATTTTATGAGTGATAACCTTTGTTTTTCCTTCAAAGCTGCTAGACCACGTACTCCATCTGACCTATTCAAGATGTTTAAGTGGATGTTGCTACTATCTTTTATTGGAAAATTAATCAAAGAATAGAAGTACGAAACATCCTAGATACAGTTTTAATAAAGCTTTTTGATGGTGGGTTGAAGGAAGTGTATGCACGGTTTACTTTGTAATTCTCGTTCCAGTGCTGGTTAGATGCTCCATACTTTTTGATAATAGATTTGCTCGAATTTCTGTGACGATATATTAAGTTGGCAATGTTCAGCACCAAGTAGGCATTAGTTGCTTCCTCCAGCTGCCTAAGTTTGAATTATATTCTTATGCATTCTCAGTCGCCTTTCAGGCTATAGGTAGCTAACTTAGTGAGTACTCATACATATGTGAAGTCCTAGTGGGTCCTCTGATTACAAAAAATTTCTTTCCATCCTAGTAAGGGTCCTTAATGCGTTCTTAGAAAATGTATCTTTGTTTTCAGGTTGCATTTAAGACCAAGGTTTTCCATCCAAATATCAATAGCAATGGAAGCATTTGTCTCGATATTCTCAAAGAACAATGGAGCCCAGCTCTTACCATCTCCAAGGTCTTTGCTTAGCTTAATCTTGCTTGCTAATCCACTGGCTATTCTTTTGAACCATATAAATTTGCTCATTTTTAACATTTGAAAGATACAATGTCTTTATGTTTCATGTACGTAAAAGGGGAAAAAAAACACGTACCTAACTATTATAATGAACAAAGACAATGTTATTGCTTTTAATGGCAGAAAATCTATGTCTAGGATCAAACTGTTTTCTAGAATTAGTTGTATATATTTTTACTGCATACTTCTGCATATCCTTGTGTATTTGAAGTTCACATCTGTGCTCTGTTTTTCTAATTGAGTAAATTGTGTAATTTCATCCTTGTATAGTGTCGTTACTAAAATCAGTCAAACAAATGGGTATTAGTAATGGTGATTCCTGTGAAGCAGGTGTCCCCTTATTTATGTGACAACATGGGTAAGTGTATGTTCTATGCTTTCAAGATGAATATGTATGAATTACCTATCAAAAAAAAAAAGATGAATATGTATGAATTATATTAGAAGTTTTGGTTGAATTAAGTATCATACTCCCTTTGCCTGCTCCCCTTGTTGTTAAGATGCCAGTGAGTGTAAACTTGTTCAAAATCCAAACATGTTCAACTCATCCTTAGAACAGTAAGTTGACTGATGCAATATTTGAAAGTTATTTATTATCCAGTTATTAAAGAGAAGTGTGCTGCATGAAACTTCCCTCCCAGTTGTGTTAAAATTTTAAATCTTTTGGAAGGCTTGAGGTTCTCAAATTTGAAGTCTGAAGGGATGCATCTGCCTCATTTCTTTCTTTCAAAAAAGCCCATATTTTTACTATAAATAAATTCACCATATTTTCCCTCATTCCTTCCCCCCCCCCTCCCGGGGAAAAAAAAAAATCACATGTTGGCGTCGTAGATAGCAAGTTGGAAAAACTATACCATGTGCATGCACTTACCAGCACGTGCACATGGTCACAAAATAAAATAAAAGCTAACAAATGTGTTACACATGCCAAAAATAGGGAAAAGAAGCTTTGATCCCAAAATAGGTTGTGGGAATTTATGATATTTCTTTAATATATATACCCACCCTATGGCATGTTCAATAGATTGGAATAATAAAAAGGTTAAAAATCTTGTTAATTATAATGTTTTGTTTGATCCAGGACTGTGTCAGATATGCACCCAAGTTTAATCATTAAAATGTTGGCTTGACCCCTTATCCCCTCTTGATACATTGCTGTTTGCATAGGAGTTTTAACTCTCAAGTTATCAGTTGTGTTATCTTTTGGATATCATTGGGAACTTTTTGTGGTTATAATTGGTCATTTTGATAATTGTAATTTTTTTCTCTCTCGGGTGGACGAGTTCATAAGTTGGCACATTTCTTGTATCACCAATATTAATCCTGTCAAAACAGGTACTGCTTTCTATTTGCTCACTGCTGACTGACCCAAATCCTGATGATCCCCTCGTTCCTGAGATTGCCCACATGTACAAGGTTGACAGGGCCAAGTATGAGTCCACAGCCCGCAGCTGGACACAGAAGTATGCGATGGGATGACAGTCAGATACTTTCTTCAAGTAGATTCACGTGGCAGAAACAACATATAAACATTGTAGACCATTTTGATGGGTACCAAAAATGGGAAGTGTGATGAATTTGGTTCTATGTAGCACACGTTATATTCGGTTTGAGGTTGTTCTAACTAGTATATCTATATCAATCTTACTCTGGAAAGAATGTTTCTCTTCAGACTGCCATATCCGTGCTTAATTTTGTGTTTCAATATTCTGATGTCAAATTGTAGAGATTGGTTTTATTATACGCCCTCAAAGGTGATCGGCGTTCTTGGTTGAAAGGCTAATTCTTGAATGTTACGATTGACATTCAAGCTCTACCATGGGTCAAAATGATCTGTAATGGCATGTGTAAACCTTGTTTCCTCGGTTTCGAATTAATCATTGGTACAATGTTTTTAAGCAGCTCGGGTGTGGGCGTTTCAAGCTCACTCTTAAATGCACTGCATGAACTTAACTATTTTAGGGTCACATATGAGACCATTGGTAGGGTATTTTTTCTTGCCTTTCCCACCAAAAAGCTAACCCAACAAAGTCTGGGTTCCCTAGTTGCCTTGAGCCTGGATACCAGAGGATTGAAAATTGCGTTTTTAAACAATCGAGTCATTTAATAAAACTTTTAATTGGTGAAAGTTCCTAACATTCAAAAGTTGTTCTGGTTTGAGATGAGATGTCACGGTGAAATATGTAAAAAAAAACGAAAGAAAAAATCATTGTCCGGCGTGAAGCGGATAGATGTTTGAACCAAAAAGCTAACCCAACAAAGTCTGGGTTCCCTAGTTGCCTTGAGCCTGGATACCAGAGGATTGAAAATTGCGTTTTTAAACAATCAAGTCATTTAATAAAACTTTTAATTGGTGAAAGTTCCTAACATTCAAAAGTTGTTCTGGTTTGAGATGAGATGTCACGGTGAAATATGTAAAAAAAAAACGAAAGAAAAAATCATTGTCCGGCGTGAAGCGGATAGATGTTTGTGCTGTTGAATGGGTCGAAAAATAAAATATTAGACAAAAGCATACCATTTACAATAATGCTTCTTGTACATTCAATGGATTACATGGAGTTTGACATCCTTTACAAATTCAAAATGTATTTGATGAGAAAGTGTGTTGAATTCAAAAACTATCTAATTATGTGCCGCCACATAGAACAATGTCAAAGATGATGTAAAAGACAATGTACAAGTAGCATGATCCTTCCATTTAATATCTCAATGCTGTGGGCTTGATGGTGAGAATTGAAATAAGGGAAAATTTAATATATAAAAGGATCAAGCATGACCCATTTCAATATTAAAAAATAAAGTTTAATTTTAAAAATTAGATGTTAATTAAACTTTATTTATATATATATATATTTATTTATTTATTTAGATTACAATTCTATACAATTTTGGTCACAATTATCAAATTAATTAATTACAAATAATTTCTTGGTTCACAAATCAAAAATTTTAATGTCATAAATTATTTCTCGATCACAAATAAAAAAATTTATAGATCAAATTACTTCTTTATCACAAATAAAAATTTTTATAGATTACAATTTATTTATCGGGCACGAAATCAAAATTTTTATAAGTCACAATTTATTTATCGATCACAAATCACAAATGTTATAAGTCATAACTTATTTAACATTCACAAATTATCAAATTAATTAGTAATAAGTTTTTTCTCAATCACAATTTAATAAATTGAGCTCCTGTTTGTTTCTCATTATTTGTTCATTAAAATGAAAAATATGACTGTTATTCATCACATCAAACAACCATATGTGACTTTCTATGTTTTGTGTGGGGCCCGTAACGACTGTATTTTTCATTTTCATTTTTACATTAATGTGTGCCAAATGGGGCCTGAGTCACAATCATATTTTTTATGTTATAGATTATTTATTAATCAGACTAATTAATTTTTTAATCACCATCAACTAAATAATTGGTCACACATAAATATGGAAACATAGAACAATTTATAAGACTTTGGGTTACTCTTTTTAATAAGGTTGACATTTTAAGATAGAAGCACAAATCTTAACATGGTATCATAGCTCATCAAGCTCCAATTAGCAATTCGATCCAATTAAAACTCAATAAATGAGCATACGAATTTCAAAATTGATTTGTTCAAATGAGCCACCATCTTGTAGGGTATGTTAAGGGATAAAATCTCACATCGAATAAAGATGGAAACATAGACTAACTTATATGGCTTTGGACTACCCTTCTTAACAAAATTGATCTTTTAAGATGAAATCCAAGTTTAAATAACAAATACCCCCACCCAATCTCATCCCATCCATTCCGACCTATGACCACTGCCATGACCACCACCACAATCACCTCAACAACCACAACCTCCATTACCACCATCACCATCACCATCACCATCACCATAACCACCCACTTCATTAGACCGCACAAAACTACCACTATAGCATCCACAACACCACCACATACTACATCAATGCAAAACCACCACCACCATAGCAACATAAAACAACCACTGGATCACAGAGCATCGCCAAATGCCTTGCACCAACCACTACCACTACCACCACAACCATCCATTCTGTTGAAAATCTTTGAGAATGTCGTGCGGTAATTTACATAAATAGATAGCGAATAAATATTCGGGCAGAATTTCGACTTACAAAAATAGTGCAATAATTAGAATGAATAATGGTCGAGGCAAGAGTTCGATTCTTTCTCTTTAAGACGAAAATGTCCGGCATTGGTTCTAACGGTCTCCTGACACTCGTCTCCCAAAATACAACGACCTCGACTTGTAATAGTAGTGCTCCAAATTATAAGACCCGACGAACCTACTAATATTTGATCTCTTGAGAATCAAAGGACTAAAATGCACAAAAATAATAATTGGGACCGAAATGCAAATATATAGAATACTGCAGGACGGAAGGACAATATTGCAGGAGAATGGAAGTAAAATAAATTTTTTGGAGTGAATAAAATCGGGGATCTGGGATCTATTTATAGAAGTTGAAAGGTTGTGCCAAAAGACTCAACAGCCGAAAGGATGTATCTTGGAACAGACATAACTCATTTGGATAGACAGTTAAAACTGTCACCAACATCTAGTTTCTAGAAGGGGATGTGCTTGCTGTACAGTAAGACACACAACCCCTCACATGAGGGGGTCTCGAGCTGAACATGGTGAGGGGGCTGTAATATTTTACAGCCTTTAAGGCTGTACAAACAACTTTGCTCTTCTAGAAGAATCCATGTGTCTCGCACAGAAAATTTGGGGAAGAAAAAATAAATAATATAATAAAAATATATTATTTAATTAATAAAATAATATAATTTAAAATATTATTTTACAAAAAATATATATACCAACCGGGCTAAGCCCAAGCTCACGATCCGGACCCGTGCACGTGTACGTGCTGTGCCGTGTGGAGTTGAGCCGGCCAATCGGACGGATGACGGTGGCGCATGCGTGTGAATTTTAGCTGAACCTACTAGCATGTCCTCTCCCTTCTAAAGACTAGTGGTACCCCTTGGGGTCCAAACCCAAGTCCCTAACTTGAGTTATATAAAGTGGTTTTTATTTTTCTAGTTTTCTTACGTGGGATTGATATTTTCCAATTTCATACCAATTTTTTATTCCCAATTTATTTCGACTTCAAGTGGTCATCTTTTGAGTTTAATTTCTCATTCACCCTTAATTAGTTTTGAAAAATAAATACATATATCAATTCTACTCATGAAGTAGAATACACTTGCCAAATAAATCATTTATCCATGTGACAGGACCTACTTAAATAATTGGTCAAAAGTTGATCAAACCAACTAATTATTCCAATTTTCCAACAAATTGTCTTCTCTTCTTCGGCTCAATCTGCAAAGTCAGCTACATGTGACCAAAGAAAAAATGGGAGACAAGCAGCACCTTTGATTTTTTGTGTCGACCACGAAGAAAAATGGAAGATAGTGCACCCTTGAGTTTCAGCATCGTGTGCAGGGATTGGGCCTTGAGATCTCCGCCACCGCTGCCAACAATCAAAACCCAATATCCAACACTGAGCGCCTTGAGATCCTCAATGGCGTTGCTACTTCGTCGACTGATATTCATTTTATTGCTAAGCATTTTGTCTGCATCTTACAATGTAACGTACAACAACGGCTTTCTCATTATCGACGGTCAATGGAAGCTTCTCATCTTTGTCGCCATCTACTCCCCTCGCGAGGTGCAACATCCCTGCTTCATCGATTGATTCGCACCGCGTGGCAATTGCGACTGGAACAGATGCCGTCTGCTATAATGTGTAAGAGAGAGATGGGTATAAACTATAAAGAGATATAGAGAGAGAAACAAGAGGGAAAACTAATTAGAGTTTGGGATGAAATTCGTATATTTAATATTTAAATATAAATTATCTGATTTGTGAATAATAAAATCTCTCCTCTATTTTTAGGATAACGATCTTTGAAAATTGGGTGTGACGTAATTTCCACCTAAAATAAATTTAATTCATGTCTCAATTAACTATAGCGTCCTTTCTATTTGGTCTCTATAAACCAGAATCATGACGAAAGAGCCTTCAATTATCTTGAGAAATAAATAATGGATCTGGTGGGCACTTTGGAATGGACCAAAGATGTTGGTTTAGGCGGCTATCAGCTTGGCAATTTTTTAAATTGGTATTGAAAATGAAAGTTAATTGTTTCAATGTTCACTGAACTTATACCTATGTTTTCGATAGTTCAATGAATTTTAAAATGTTGAGTTTTGGACGCTAAACTTTGGAAAAACGTTATACATTATTTACTGGCATAATTTTCTTCTTAAACTTCTAACGAAACCGATGACGTGGCTGACGGAATGCACATGTGGTGCTCCGTCACGCCATTAAACTTTGAGATAGTTGAATTTTGGCCATTAAACTTTGAAAAATGTCTATTTATTGCTCGCTAAACTTTGAGATGATTAAATTTTGATTACTGAACTTTGATATAGTTGAACTTGGACCATTAAACTTTGAAAACGTCTTTTATTACTCACTATAAATTTGAATTTAATTAATCCTCTGTTTATCTCCTTTTAGAACAAAATTCTTTAATTTTCATACTTATTTTTAACCACATTTATACAATAAAAATGTTACACGTAAACGCAAAAAAAAATTTCCAACTTTTTAGCCTAACATTCTCCGAAAAATATATTTAAAACTCTCTTTTTAA